AGTACAGGTGTGGTGTACAGGTGTGGTGTACAGGTGTGGTGTATCTACCACCGTGCGCGCGACAGGCATGTGCAGACGTAATCGACACAGTCAGAATTAAATATTAACGCGCGGCGCCACATCTATGATTGAAGAACTACGCTGGCGCGATGGCAGTTTCAATCTAGTTACAGCCTATCAGCCACGTACAGAGACAGAATGACGACAGCAGAGTATCTGTGTATATAGGGTTGTCTTCCACACGCACCGCACCCATCGTTCATTGCTAGCAATGAAAACGTAGATATACTCGCTGTGTATCGCTATCGATGGGGTTAAGCTAATGGTCCTCGTCTTTGAAATGTGTTTCTGCTGATGATCAGCTATAGGGAATAATGAAATTCGTAGTGGGTATAGCTTAGTTAGTGGGGTTAGCTGTTGGCAGCAGTGAATAAGCAGCGATAGAACGCATTTCTCACGGAGCAAAAAGAGAATCTAATTATGACAGAGTTCAGAAATAAAATTCTCCTTGATATAAGGCCAGACGAGGTCAACTCCGAGTTAGTATGAGTCATCCACACGTCATTAATAATCCCGACAAAATTGAGCGATTTTTTGAAATTGTTCTAAGCCCAATACCGTCCCTCGAAATGGGAACACAATTCTGCAAGTCAGAGCGTTAGTTCACGTACAGTTGGGAGCACACCCAGCAGGCCCTAGTCTCGCAATATAACCATTAACTTTTCCATCGTGTCACATATTCGTACATCGGAAGTATTGTAACAGCGGGAGTAACACCATGCTATGCATTATCATCGAGATGTATTACATACTCTACTGCGCGTGACGATAGCTGGAGAAAGGAGACGATTCGTGCCACTTCCCCGTGTCTCTCTCGACGAAATCTTGATTGTTGTTTGTTGGGGGGGGGGGCAAAGAAATGCTCGTACAGATGATGACGTTTCCTGCTCTCAGCTTATCTGCAGACTGTCATCTACTCAGTCACACTCAAGATGCAATGAATAACGGTGATTCCAGGCGCGAATTAAACTTGATTTCAGGCGTAATTTCAACTCATACCAGGCGCGAGTTCATTCATTACAAACGCGAATACAACTGATTCGAGGTGCGAAAACAATTAATTACAGGCGCGAATTCAATTCATTCCAGGCGCAAATAAAGCTCATTTCAGGTGCGAATAAAGGACATTCCACGAGCGCACGAACACCGCCGCCTCCACAACACCATTACAGTATATTATATAAGCGAGATTATACGATCCGTGAAAGCTGCCACGTACACAGTAATCTGCCTACCTGATTATTCCGGCATCAATCCACGCGATTCCCTGCAGCAGCACCGCCGAGGCGTCGCATCTGAACCCTTTACCACCGAATGCCGACAGTGTCGTCTGCTATCATCGGCTATCGAGGCGCGCGCGCGAGANGTGTGTGTGTGTGTATGTGTGTGTGCGCGCGTGTGTGTGTGTGTGTGTGTGTGTGTGTGTGTGTGTGCCTGTGTGTGTGTGTGTGTGTGTGTGCGTGCGTGCGTGCGTGCGTGTGTGCGTGTGCGCGAACGTGTGAGCGTGCGTGTGAGTGCGTGTGTGCGTGTGCGCGTGCGTGTGAGCGTGCGTGTGAGTGTGCGCGTGCGTGTGAGCGTGCGTGAGCGTGCCTGTGTATGCAGTGACTTACCAGGTCTAGAGACCGTGTCATCGGCGCCTGGCGTGTTTTTTCTCATGTTGTTGTTGGTGGTTGGTTAGTTTGGGTGTTGTTACACGATGCGGTGCATGCGAATTGACATGGTATACCTATGATGTGTCGGTAGATGAGGGGTTGGGGTCATGTGTACAATTAACTCATCTCGTCGCATGGTCTCTTGACTGTTCGTTTTCCTCTCTCTCTCTCTCTCTCTCTCTATTTCGTTCTCTCCCTCTTTCGCCTCTCTCCCTCTCCCTCTCCCTTACTCGTCTCTTCTCTCTCTCTCCTCTCTCTCCTTCTATTCGCAGCGCGCGAGCGCTTTCCATCTCTCACATTATCTTCTATCTTGCGCAAGCACTTTACTGCTGGCGCGTCTTTCCCTCTCTCTCTCACGGACAACACGCACACACACACACACACACACACACACACACACACACAGCACCACAACATCACGCGCACGACAAAAACACTTTTTGGTTCCTTCTCTGTCGTCACATTTTCTCGTCTTTTCTGTCGCTCTTCCCCGCTTCTCTATTTCTCTCTTCTCTCTCTCGTCTTCTTGTCTCTTATTCTTTCTCTCTCTCTCCATCCTTTCATTCGATAGACTATGCATGCACGTACGACGCAACAACAATACCACCGTTACAACCGAGAGTAACACCACACCAACTTATATGCACGCGTATACCAAGGCCCACCACTCATATATTGATTAGCATATAATATGCCGGTATATAGCTTCATCAACATGTAAAGCTACAAGTACCGTTAGGATGCGTATATACGGCGAGGAGAGAGGGAGGGAGTGCCGCAGAGGATAGAGCGCGAGAGACAGAGAGAGGGGAGACCGAATGAGAAGAGGAGTAGAGATGATAAGATCAGAGAGAAGAGAGACGAGAAGAGAGAGAGGGGAAGAGAGACGAGAGATGAGAGAAGAAAGAGAGATACAGGAAAGAAACGGGGCGCGAGGAAGAGGGCGAGTTAAGGTTATGAGAGAGAGAGAGAGAGTCGCGGAAAGCGAGAGCGAGAAAGAGGGAGAGAGATGTGATGTGTGAGCAAGAAAAAGAGAGATGAGAGAGAGAGAGAAGAGGAAGAAGAGAGAGAGAGAGAGAGAGAGAGGAGAGAGAATTGAAGATGAGAAGAGACGAAGCGAGAGAAGCGAGAGGAGCGAGAGAGCGAGGAGCTGAAGGATGCGAAGAGCGAGAAGAGGCGAAGAGGCGAGAGAGCGAAGTTTCGGAAAGTGAGAAAGCGATGCAGAGAGGAGAGTAGAGACGAGAGAGAGAGGAGAGAGAGAGCGCGCACATGCGAAGAGAGCAGAGAAAGAAAGAGAAATAGAGATAAAGAGAGCGAGAGGAACAATAAAAAAATAAAAAGACAAAAAAAAAATGAAAGAGCGGATGAGAGCCGAGCGAGCGAGAGAGAGAGAGAGAGAGAGGAGAGAAGAGAGAGAGAGAGAGGAGATCGGAGAGAGAAAGAGCCGAAGAGACGAGAAAGAGAGTAACAGGCGACTGCCGTATACATATCGCTCGACATAATTGTCACACGCATACAACCTCGTTGTGATGATCGCGCCTCGTCCGTGCATACTCATGATGACCGTAATGCGTGTCGGAGGTTAGCCATGCACGCATCAAGCGATGGAAATGCGAGATCCAAACGTTGAACCGAAGACGGATCGGCTGCAAGCGTTCATACATTTCTAGCCACAACGTCGCGACTATGTCATGTTATATACCCGTCAATCTCCATGACGTAACGCGTGTTTGTTAACCTAAAATAATGATGTATAACGGATTAGTGTCAGTCGATGTTTGTTTTTTTTTGTTTTTTTTTTAAAACAGAATCGAATGATATATATACTTTTTCTCCTCTCTCCTCTCTCTCAGTCTCGCTCTCTCTCGCTCTCATCTTGCTCTATCTCTCGCTCTCTCGTCTACTCTCGCCGCGACTGCGCATCTTCTCTTTCTTCCTCTCTCGCCCCCTTCTGTGCTCTCTCGCTTTCATCTGCGTCGCGCGCCTGCTCTTTTTTGCTCACATCTCTCTCGTCGTCTCTCCGTGCTTCCGAACCGCCAAGAGCATCGTCTCTTGTTCTCTCATACCATTGCTATCTTCGCGCGCAGTCAGTCTCTCCCTCACTCTCATCATGCTAGTTACGACGGTTATTCGCCCGTTAGCTGAGCCCTTCTCTTCTCGCTCTCGTGCTTCTTCTCCTCTCTCTCTCAGGTCTCTCTGTTTCTCTCTCTCTCGTCTGTTCGTCGCTTCTTCACTGAACGACAATCATAGTTCACCGTATTTCGGACACCAGCCGCTACAAAGAAGGGCCTAAGTGATGTTGTGCTGTCTGCTCCGTGGGTTCTAGTGTCAGGCGCGCGACCGAGAACAAGGGGTCCGTGCGCTTCGTCCGCGACACCTTGTGTTATAAAAGTTTTCTTCGAATGGTACCGTGGCAATCCCCTCTTGCGCGTAAAAACGAAGAGCTCGTCTCTCGCTCGGTCTCTCTCTCTTCTCTCTCTGCATCTTCCCCGACACCGCAAGGTGCGCGGGGTTTTGATTTCGCTTGCTCGTGCCGTGACTGTGTGCGTGCCCTCGCGCCGCATGGCATGTGTCGACGGAGTGGACACGCGGAATGTGAGTGACACACACTACATTCACACACATACACAACCGCGTTGATGCTGGATTTACCCGACTCCGACGGCAACGAAACTGCCGGACGGGAATCGAACTGCCCGGATACGGACAGCTGGTAGATGTGTCGTGCTGTGTGGTTGTGTGTGTTGTGTGGTGTGTGTGTGGTGTGTGTGTTCGGTGCTTGTGTGTATTATGTGGGTGTGTGTTGGTGTTGTGGTGTGTCTGCGCGCGCACAGCGTGTGTGTGTGCGTGTGGTGCGTGCGTGTGTGTGCGTGTCGGTGTGTGTTGTGTGTGTGGTTGTGTGTTTTTGTGTTGTGTGTTGGTGTCGGTGCGTTCTGGCATGCGTGGTGTGTGTGTTTGTTGGTGTGTGTGTGTGTTTGCTTTGTTGTGTGGTGTGTTGTTGTGTGTTGTGTGTGTTGTGTGTGTTGGTGTGTGTTGTGTTGAGAGTGTTGTGTGTGGTGTGCGCTGTTGCGTGCGGTGCGTGTGGCTGTGTGTGTTGTGTGTGTGCTTGGGTGTTATAGTGTGTGTGTGTGTGTGTGTGGTGCGACGGTATTCTTGGATTGAACGAACACACGTTGATTGCCATTCTTTACATGCGGTTTCGTCACTTTTACGTGTTTTACGATTTAACGATTTGGTCATGGTTTTTATCAGGTTTATTCGGGTTTTTATATTTTGGGGCGAACGACGGCTGACGATGACGCATGACCGATGAACAGGCGAATGACGAATGACTGGATGTGACTGCCGGTACACCATCCGTAACGGCGTCGATGCAGTCATTGACGATTATCCGTCGCACGTAAGTGAGCGCACAGTAGTTTTACGCATTCAAACTAAAATGTATGCATAATATACGGCTGACACAACTGCACATAAACACACACACGCAACGCACGAGCACGCAACAGACCACGCACTCACGCACACACTCAACCTCTCACGACACGACACACACACACACACACACACACACACACCACACATCACTCCACCGCGCCACTACACACACAACAACACAACACACACACCACACACACACACACAGCACACACACACACACACACACTTATATATATAATATATATATATAATATATATATATATGTATGTTATAATATATATATATATATATATATATAGTATATAAAAATATATATATATATAAATCATTCAAGCTTAGTTTGTTCTTCTATCTATCGGCAGGTACAATTGGAAATTTCCGAGCAGCAATGCGTTCGCTGCTTTTTCTTTTTTACTTGCTGCAACGGTCCTCGAAACTGGCGGTTCATATGCGGGGGTGAGCTTATCGGTGCAGATGTCGTGATGACAGCCGGACACTGCGTACAGGGGTAAGCTTATTACTATTACGATTAACTAAATTTCTAATTATATACACTATATATATTATAATAATAATAATATATATACTAATTTTATTAAACATAATTAGCGTATGCGATACGTAGCGCCTGATTCTCGCCCAGATACGGAAATCGACGTCAATCAACGTGATTGCCCCCGTTTTACGTTGCCTATACCTGCCTGGCCTGCCCTACGACGTATGGCGTGCGCGAGGATATATATATATATATATATATATATATATATATAATATATATCGATAGAATCAAGAGCTAATAATACATTATGTTTTATTAAAATAATAATTTATATTTTTTAATAATTTATATTAATTTAATATTATAAATAATTTTATATTAATATTAATAACTAATAATTTTTATCATAATTTTATATTAAATTAATTATATTATGCATTATTGTATCATTAATGTATTATTAGCGCTTGATAGAATTGGCTTCGTACGTCGCCTTGTTCAATGTTGGTGTATTTCGCGCTCTTCCATAGAGCTTGAAACACTCCGGAGATATTTCGCATAGTGGCTGGTCAAACGATTCTCAGTAATGGTGGAACCGTAACAGGACAACGAGTCGTCGTAAGTTTAAGACAAAACATGTAATTAATTATTAAAGCCTCACTATGCGCATCCAAACGCTAATTTCGCCAGTACTAGACTAGCAAATACTTGTGTCATGCATAATCATACTACCTTATGACAAATAAAACTCTAGTCTTCCATTTCACTGCGCGTTGTCTTATAAAAGGCATTTGAAATACCTCCAATTTGTTTCAAATTCTCCGTGTTGTTGACATTTTCGCGTTGCTCTGCAAGCAACCGGGAGCGGTTGCTGCGGTACAGCGGTAGGTTAGCAAGATAAAAAACATGTGACGTCTACCTAACGATTCTTGGCGAATTGTTTGGCAAACAATCTAGCGGTTGGCGCACAATTACCAAATTTCGCACCTCTTTCTTTGGGTTTTAGCAACGCCGCACTGAAATGGGCAGGAACTAGAGTTTGTTTTCCCATAGAGGTTAGTGTGAATATGCATAACACGAAGTATTTGCTAGTCTATGTACCAAACTCTACGACTAGATGGCGCTCTCGCTCTGCTCAATTCTACCACTGCCACAAGCTATTTCCGTAAGATTTCTTACGCTTTTTTACTACAAGTTTTTACAGCGAGGCATGTTACTCGTATCCTATGTAATGAAGTTTGGACAATAAAAGTTGCAAAGATATTAAAAATGCGACCGTTTTCATAAAAAATTTGATAAAATAGTGATAGAAATAGTGCGCGGATTGTGCGCCCATACCTGTATCTTTTCAAATCATACGCTGTTTTACGTGAATCTCCATTCGCTCGCCCGATTTCCCCGAGCTCCCCCACTAAAATAGTGCTAGCATTGTCAGTGGTATATTGAGTGTGCGAAGGGGACTGCATGCAGTTTGGTCTAGTACTGGAGAAATTAGCGTTTGGATGCGCATAGTGCGGCTTTAAATAAATAAATAAATAATAATAATAATAATAGTAATAATAATAATAATAATAATAATAATACCCAATGACAACGATTATAATATTATTGTTAACATTACTAATAATAAATAACAGCAATATTGTTTTGTTAAAAATTAACACACGGCCATTAAAGCTGCTTAGTGCTTACTATCAACACGACGGTGCTGCCCCCTCTCCACATAAGCAGAAATAAAGTCAGGAGTGTCATTATATAGACTAATATTATAATCTATAGTATGACACTCCCGATCAAGTCGACATACGAACTACTCTCATGAACTCGTTCCTCACTTTCGTTGGAGACCTACACACGCATACACAAAGCTTACTTTTCTGTATAAAAACACTGTAAAATATAAAAATACCTGTTTTCGCGCGTGCGTCACGAAAATTGCATTTACAGAAGAAAGCATTTTGTAGTGAAGAGTGTAGCGTGGTCCTTAGAACCTCACAACTTCAACGTCTTCAACAAGCTCAACGAGTTCACAATGTTCAACAAGTTCAAACTCCTACCGAATTCATGGAAGAATGTTTTTGCGTACATCACGAATACTGTATTAGCGCCTCTGTATCGCTTCATAGGTGCGCTGTGAGGTGAGACTATATTTACCTCCGCCAGGGGCTTGGTGGCGGTTATGTTTTCACCGGCGTGTGTTTGTTGGTTTGTGTGTTTGTGGGTTTGTGGGTTTGTGGGTTTGTGTACAGCCTAACTGGAAAAGTTATGGACGGATTGTCATGAAATTTTCAGGATACGTCGGAAATGGGATTACTTAGAATTGATGAGATTTTGGCAGTGATCCGGATCCAATTAATTAATTAATTCATTCATTCATTAATTAATAAAATTTTCAGGATAGGTCAGAAATGGGGTAACTTAGAATTGATTACATTTTGGTGGTGATCCGGATCCAATTAATTATTTAATTAATTAATTAATTAATTAATTTTTCCATTTAATTAATTAATAAATTAATAAAAAATTTCACAGTGAGAGAATTCAGCTGCCTTGGCGGAGGTCTGCGCTCTCCGAGTGCTCTAGTTCGCTATATTTTTTACAGATTGTGCGTTGATTTCGAAATAAATCCTTTAATAGGGCGCCGAGATCATTCTCCACGAGAGATACGATCTGGACGGTCAATTCTCCAATGACATCGCCCTGATGCGTCTGGAGAGCAGTCTTGACCTCACATCGTCATCGGTCAGTACCATCGCTTTGCCGTGCGATGGCGGCACATACGAGAACAGTCTCTACGACGGTATGACGGCGACCATTATAGGCCATGGACGCTTACGTAAGCTCACGTAATTCTGGCTTCGGGGAGTGGGTGGCGGAGTCGGTTGGTGGGTGGATATATGAAGAGATGGATGGATGGATGGATGGATGGATGGATGATGGATGGATGGATGGATGGATAGATAGATGGATGGATGGATGCATGGATGCATGGATGGATGGATGGAT